GATAAGCCAATTACAAGAGCTTCCCGCTCAGGTTCTTCTGAAATTTCATTCACAAAATGGCTTCGAGGTGCAAAGACGGTACAGTTACCGGTAACTTTCGCGTCAGCAGCGATGAGCTGCCAAATTTTCACATCGATACTTTTTCCGAGCGTGATGATCATTCAGGAAGATTTGCCGAAGTCTCGAAAATAAAAAAAAGTTGTCTTTCATGTAGGAGTTTCATCAGTGTCTATAAGATAAACAGAACATTACATGGCCGCTTGGGGATACGAATTTTATCTTCTAGTGCTGAAAGTATCTATCGCGAGTGAGACGTCTTACCGTCTTAGAAAGAAAAGTGCCTTGTTTAGTTTCTAATCGTATGACTAATGAAAGCAACAGTAGGAAACTGAAGTGAAACTTTCTCTGCAAAATAAAATATATGACAGCTTGACAGGCGGTTTCCATCTTCCCGGCATAAGCTAAACACAAAAGAATAACATATCAAACAAAACAGCCTTTCCTGCCTTGCATTAATATGAAATTTAGCAACAGTGAACGATTTGTAAGTACGCCGCTCATGAAAACCGCCGACTGTAAAAAACTTTAGGCTATTCACGACAGTGAAGGCAACAACATGAGACGGTAGCAGACTCAAATTCTTCATGAAAGGAAAAACGTTGGTTGCCCATATGCTGAAAAGCTTCAGTTTTAAATGGCCATGTTTTTTCATTTCTCATATTGGAAACGTTGTCAACGGTTCCGTCTTCCTGATTCTGAACATTGTTTTGCTAAAGATAACTTGACCCGAGCGTAAAACGCATTGGGTGCATTCTACTTCAGTAAACTTCTCTGAACATTCTTTTCTTCTTTTTTTGTTTGTTTATTTGTTTTGTAGTTCCCTCCACTTTTAAAGTGGAGATCATCTCTTTACAGGCCCGACGAACACTGTCAATGCTTGAATATACCAGACGGAAACATGGATGGCTAAAACTGGGAATGTTTGATTCGGATTTTTTCAGACGCCATAGCCGTAGCTTAGCAACATAAGTCAAAGTGTGATTGACCAATCATTGACTTCACTCATGTTTCCTTGATAAAGACTCATAATCTGCCTTGCTCTTGAAAGCGAAGAGGCAGGCCTCAGAATAATTGAATTACATAAAAAGCGTGCTATTATTTAATTCACAGCATAAAATCATAGTGTTCTGTGTGATCATGGAAACTGAAAGCAAAACTCAGGATTACAACGGATGCACTGACAAATAGATTACGCACTGGGCCATCGCTCGAGATGAGAAGATTGTGTGATGCGTCAAACGAAAACACAGTCGTTGTGACATGTGCCTTAGAAAGGTAGTTAAAACGTAGGAGAAATAAATGGGAGGCGGGAAAGGGATGACAGAACTGTTTTGGTGATCGTTAATCAAATATGTCGCCTTCACTGTTGCAGTTGAATGTATCAAGTTGCAAATCTATAAATACAAGAAACACTCAACTAATGCATTTTTGGCACGCAAGAAACGCGACTTTCGCTCCATGTAAACATCTACGACTACAAATAAGAAACGAAATCGGCTACGACCAGCTAATGCAGACTTCTGATCACTAATGATCTCAATTTTTTTTTTCGTGATCCTTCACTGTAAGAAAATTGGCTCCGACGCATGTTGAAGAAGTTTCTTGTCATTAGTAATAAACGATGACATTTATGAATTAATTAAGTAAAGTTCTTGTTTTGGAGGCAAAAAGCATGAAATTAGAAAAAAAGAAAAATTGTTCAAGAGTTTCAAGTGTCCTTTGAATCAAAAGTAAACAACATCTGGTAACGTCACACACTTTTGTTATAAGAGAATAAATACGTTGCGATAATTTTCTTTTTTTCCAGTACTGGTAGTAGTCAATGTTAATCCTTTATTCCTTTATATCAATATGCATATTCTCCTCATTGTTCTCCTACAGTTTCTTCGTTATTGAAAAGGAGAATTTGTTTAACAGTAAATGGAGCACCTTCAGATATTGATCATCGCCTTTATTCTAATGACCTTATGTTTGATTCACCAGCAACATTGTGAGGAGACATTTGATGCTAGTTACTCTCAGGGACTAAAGGATATGATGTATCACAATAAAATAGACCTGATTCCCCTAAAGCTCTCTAGTATTATTATGAACCTCCTCACTCCTTTCATTTGCAATGAATTTTCTGAAGCCCCACTGTACACCCTGTTAGAGACGACGGATCGCCCTGAAAACCAAGTGTTCCCCCTCAAAATTATCTGATGTCCCCCCCCCCCACCTCTTCCAGGCGAAAAAATAATGACTGGTCCCTTAGACCTAAATCGACGTTTTTCTAGAGGAGAAGGGGGGGGCTTCAAATTCTGTTGATATTTTTATATTGCTTTTCATGTCTTGAGACTGTGGAGTATATCAAAGCTCAAAGCTTTCTTCATATACTCTCGATGGTCACTTGGAGGTCCTTTATTGCCATGAGTCAATCTTTTCGTATACTTCACTTTTTTTTCTTTTTTCTTCAATCCTTCCCATCTCTGCTGAAATTGCAATTCTCGTCTTTCTTCGTCATGTTTCAGTGCTTCTAAATTTTTACTAAAAACTAAGTCCACTAAGCCCATCCTACTGAAATTATTTTTAATCCTCTGACCTATTGCCCTCCATCAATACAAACGTTTTAGAATGGTAATTATGAGGTAATTTGCTTTAAGGTAAAATAAAGTGCATCGTGTAAAAGATCTTTGACATAATGTAATTGCTTAGGAAGTGTAAATCAACTCCAGCTACTAATGGCAACCTCAGGGAACTTTGTAAATACGGTATCCTGCGGAATTTCGTTCATGATCGTTAAATTACAAACTAATGACCTTGCAATGGCGGCGAAAAATTCTCTTTAGTGATAAAAATCAGCGCTATAAGATTAAGCAAGGATGATAACATCCTGAGTATTACCATGAATATCTTCCGCACGCAGGAAGATGTTCTTTAAGAACGCCAACCACGCAAATCAATAATCACTGGCCATGGGTCTTGTTTGATCACCTTGGCAGTCATTTCAAAGCTTTTTCCTATTTGCCCTAGTTTTGATTCTTTGATGAGACATTTACAAATAGCAAATGACATATCATCGATACATCTTTTAGCAAGCAGGTAGTGAGAGTTGAAAAGTTATGATTGTTGTCATAACATAAACCAAACTCTCGTATTTGACCAATGAGAAACTTTGGTGGCATAAGGAGGTTAAAATTCCCCAAATAAAGTAACCTATAGCCTTGTTAAAAATATGACTATGTTTGTGATGCTAAACAGAAAGGTAATAACTTCTAAAAGATAGATGAATAACTGCATCTTAAGGCAGAATTTTCGAAGTACGTTGTCCTTCAGATAGTGTGAATCGATTTATGCTTTGTATCAATGACTTCCCGTTTTGGTTCATTGAGCGCTGACCTCGCCCGCTAATGCTCAATTCAGTTATGAATTCTGAAAAGGATCGAATACATGAAAATGTCTGTAAAAAATAATCCTATTTGGTAAAATGAGTATGAGTTGGCTTGCTTGTCTATTAAGCTCGTTTATTTGTACCGTCAATCTGTTTGGAAAATGTACTACTCGCTTATTTCGAACACGCTGTGTTAAGTACAACCCAGAAGAGAGACAGTAAAAAAAGAAAAATGGAAAAGCAGCTCATTTTTTCAAGGGCGAAGTGTTGGAATTTTGTGGAATCGATGTTTCGTTTCTGTACCAATAAAGGAAGAAGGAAGATAAGCGGCCATAATTCTATCCTAAGCCTTCAAGTAACCAATTAGATTACGTTAAGACACCCATGACGTAGGTACGGACAAGTGATTAAAATAGAAAGTATGGTTTGGAGGCTACTTTGAGGCTACTTTAATTAGCCTGACTCGAGCTGTTACGACACAAGAACAGGTTGGCTTTCGAGCCCTCTAAGACCGATGAAGATATGAAAAGCCCTCTTCGACTTACCCTGTCTCAGTAATACTATGATTTATTTCAATTCAATACGTGATCCGACATTCTTTGAAGTCAGTTTTGCGGTGGCAATCTACCCATCTTCGAAGTTTCGCGGGCTGGTTCAAAACCCAGGAAGTTTTAATCTTTTATTAACAAGGGGGCACAAATAAACCTTGAAATTAGGATACATTTGCGATCAACAGTTAGCTTAAAATACTTGCTTGATCACGCATGGCTACAAAACGAAACAGCCATAGTTTTTCCCAACCGTTGTATAAGTCAAATTTTTATTAATCGATAAATTACGTTGTTTTCGTTTAAGCCCTGCGATATAAGTAACTATGCTGGTAATGATATCACATCGAGATTCTCCTTTCACAAAATCGGGCAATCATGAACCAAGGATACGTCAAGCTGCTTTGCCCCAAAAGCTGAACAAAAACGTGTTCATAAGGGCTTCCTTTGCCCTGAGGGATAATTGTGATTTTAAGCACGTCGTTGACATTTCATCAGCTTCCCTGCTAGGTAGCAACAAATTCACTTCTTCCTGTTTTTTATTTTTTACTATGATCTAAGAAAATCGATGTTATCTGTTACTGGCGGGGATAAAACTTAAAGAAGCTTGCCTTAGATTTCATTCGTGATTCAGTCCCTACGTCATTAGGAAGACGAAGAACCCTAATAAAGACTGTATATTGGCTGTTGCCATGATTACAATCTCAAGTGGCAATCATTAGTCAAGTTGATGAGGCACACGCTGTCTATTATACGGTCACGCGATGAACGGCTTTGACAGATTGCAGGGGTTCCATGTATCGATCCTTGCATTCCAAGCTCTGGTAATGCTTCAAGAATGCGGTAACTGGGGATATAAAAACGTGAACGAGTTGTAAACAAGCAACTCAGTTTAACCCAAATTGGGGAAAGGAGCCATCAACACTTGAGAACGAATTTAATTCCATTGTCTTGATAAAAAGGAACTCGCACAAGAGTTTTTAAATTAGTGGTGGTCAAACAAGAAACGTGATCATCTCAAGATGCGAGCACAAAACCCAGATTTTCACAACGTTTGTTTTCCGTGCCCAAACGGCTTTCAAGCGTTTATGCGTATCTCAGAAGAACAAAATTTCAAAAGTATGGACGCGCCATGCGACAGCAATCGAAGTTCCGCATCATCGACATCTTCGCTGGGTAAAATGGACTCAAGAAGCCCACAAGATAATGAACTGGCAGACCACCTGGCGCTCTGCATTGAAGAAAGCGTTGTCAAAGTTGGAGCTGCAGCCCAACTCAGGAGAAGAAACAGTTCTCTCTCACGAAAAAATTCTGGCTTGAGACCAAAAGTGAGACATGAAACAACAAGTATGTCGCCAGAGGAATGGTCAGAGACATTTGTGGCGCAAGATGGAGTCTTAACTACAAATTTCTGCTCTACGGAATTGTGACTTTAGCCACTCAATAAACTACATATGGCTTAACGAGAGGTTTTACACTCTCAGTTTGAATAAGCAAGGACAAGCCGCCTGAATCTTAAGCTTTCCCGTAAATTGGGACAGAGAAAGAGAGTTACTCCTTCATTTCACCATAATGAATAGAAACGTAGTCACGAGCACATGGTTAGGTCAAATTTACGGGAAACTACAGAAAAATCAGCCAGCCTGAATTTTGCAGCAGGTAAAAGGAGGCATCATTGACTGCACACGAGGCTGATTAAATCCAAAGTGACACTTTGAAGAAAACTATGCTCTGAGTGAAGTGTATATTTATCACTTTTAAATAACACCATCATCGGAGAATGATGCTTCTACTAGCTGTTACTGATGAAATTTAGATTATGTAAATATATGCGCTTGACTAAAGGTATTAGAAGATAAATTGAAAATTTGCATCTAAAGGAAAAACTATGAGGCATTTAAGATAATTTATTATAAGTCGATGTAGCTAATATATTTTAAGGTAAAATATCCATCTTGTTTAATAAGGAGTGAAAATAGCATATATATAGAGAAAAGTCTTCGAGGATTTTATATAATGTCGCAATATCTTACCCAAGATCAAAAAGCTAATCAACTTTTAATTGCTTTAAGGACAAATAGGTGCATTACCTTAAATTAGCGTATTTTTTAATAAGTAAACAGCAAACATAATTTGTTGCAATTAGGAAGATACAGAAGTGTTTCAGGTGAAGAGCGAGTATAAAGTAGAATTTGTCATCATCTGTCAGAAGTACTGCAAAGACAGTTATAATTTCAAGAGAGCATACAAATTCACAAAAAAGTCGATACTCAGTGAAATATGTTTACAAAATATCCAAACAAAATAAATGTCTTATTGATAACCAAAAAGGAAAAGCTACTTTTGATAGTGTAAGGTTTTGTGATGATATTGCCGCTTGATCTTGGGATTTTAAAGAAGAAGGAGGCAATATCGTAAAATGAGCCACTAATGCTGAATTTATTTTTCTATTCTGCGTTATTTTCAATTAGTAAGAAGGGTTCTTTATGAATCATTGAGATATCCGGTTTTCCTAAAACTACTGTCAGAGCAGACTAGCTAAACTTGGCTGGGTTTAGCATTTATAGCTACTCACATTTCTTATTGACATGTTAAGGGAGTGTAAAAATAGCCCATACGATGGCATTAGAGTTACAAATATCGACAATCTCTCTTTTCATCATTGGTTTTTTCGTACCCCAAATAACGATCTTAAAATATTCATCGCACGTAGTAGGAAACGTCACATCGCAGGAGTAGGAGCTTCACTAAAGTTGGTTTGAAAGGTATTGGAAACCTAACTGTGGGAGAATAAAGCAATATTTCTTTTTCATTATCAGAAGCCATGCTATGTGTCAACAAATCCGGTCGCTGAATATATCAGCCGAGCAGTTTATTGTGTTGCTGAAGCAAAACAAAAGTTTTTTTTAAATACTTGAACTAAACCACAATATACCCTGAGAGATTCTCGCGGGAGGGTTATAGATTATGAAGTCAATACCGATGCATTGTGTACAGCATTTAAAGAATATATTTTTTAAAATTGTTTCATCTTTATCGAAGCTTATCGATGGTGGCATAAACTCCCACCGGACAAGTGAAACGTAAACACCGCACCTCAAATGCAATATACTAGCAGAAGCCTTCTGTATCTTGTCACGTAGGATAGTTGGAGTCGGTTTCCTGTATAAGTTATGACTCATTCCTGAAATTGCTATTTGAAAACACTTTCGTTCAAAAGAACAAGAATAACTGGGCTCCCTGCTGCGAAGGATAGCGAATTTCAGCGTGGGTCGGAAATGGCGGGCGAAAGAAACATAATTGATTTTAAAAGTTCTCTTCAAGCGCCCCCCTCAGACTTGACCTAGGCGGCCGTCTGGATCTCTTGATTTCTACCATCTTTCACCAGAATACTTGTCGTTCTAAACCAGAGTGAGTACTCTCAAGATTTGGAGCAAAGTACGAGGAAATATTCTCTTAAAGAAACTGCTATAACTACCCAACTTCCCCTCTTTCTATAGTAACCCACTTTCCTTCCCCCATGCTAAACAAAACCCCGTAATTGAAAACACAGGCCATGATAGCATTTAACTTAAACCGGCTTTTTGTACTCGCAATTTATCCGCGGTTCTCGTGATTGCTTCTCAGTTCTCATATCATCTGCTCTCAAAGTTGGCAGGTTCGCAGAAATGAAAGCACTCTGTCAATCTCAATGTGTGGGAACCTTAATTAATTTGTTTCAGCACCTTACAAAAATAGAATCATTGCAAAGACCTTCTTTGTCACCCAATTCTCCAGAGGCCAAGAGGCTCCTTTCCACGGGGCAATAAATTATGCCCTCGGAAATTGAACTTAACCTGGAAATTTTGACCATTTCATTTGTCATAGAATGTTGTGGATTGGCTGAAATTCAGGAAAAAAGATACCGAGAAAGAGAAACATCTGTCGCAAGAAGGCGTTTAGCTACTAAAAATTGACTGAAATTCAAACCTCTTTTTCCCTCTTTCGTCAGAGGATATACCGAGGAGATTGCTTACATTCGAGTGAAGTTGAACTGTTACAACGTGACAATTATCGACTGTTCGAATTCAACCAAGTGGAAGGTCGAAATTCTGCGAAAAGAGAAGACTCTTTTCGTGACGAAATGATAACTGGGAACAGGAAAATCCAACATGGCTAAAAAACGGTCTTGGTGAATTTTCGAATTGACATTAAGAATTAAGAAAACACGTCAGAACCTTAACAGAAATCTGAACAGACGGGACTGGAGGATTATTCCATGATAATACTTTTAAACGACTAGGGCAAACATGATTTGAGTGCGTAAAACGAATTAATTTTCTCTTACCGCATTTTCCGCTTGGCCTCAACAGACATGATTTTGAAGACAATAGGTCGTATTATTTTGTCAAGTCACGCGTCTAGTGGTTAACTATCGCCTTAAACATCACATCTGGCGAGCAAGATTTTTTTTTCAAAATCTACCTAAAGAAAAAATATAGTAATTTGATGATGCTTTTTGCAAATTATCGGTGTACCGTTGATAACAAACAAATTCCGTATAACAAATCGTGCATTATAGCATTGACCCTCTTCGCTCCACCATCGCGGATCCATTTATATGTCTTGAATCATATAAGAAGTCCCAGTCTTTTCAGGAATGAATCTGATCGATGGTATTCTTCATCGCATACATCCACGTGGCACCGACTTTGTCGTAATTTTTTATCATGTTCAGTTGATTTACGTAATGTCGTCTTGAAGCACTTCTACTCATAGCTTAGAAATGTTCTCATTTCAAAGCGGTTGAGCGAAGTAAAATTGCTCTTTAGCAGACCACTGATTTTTCTTCCTTCTTCAGTGGTCAGACATATCAGGTCTTGTTCTGTGCAGAAAAACAGTTACACAATCAGCTTTTACTGCTTAATAAGACGATTTTTAATTCAACTGAGCCTGAAAGCTGCTGTGTAAAGCCTTACCTAGGTAATCTGCCCTGTGATAAGTTTATGTCAATATCATTGCTGTTCATATCAATCGGACGCTTCATTATTATTACGCTCCTTCTCTAGATCTGATTTCTTATTTCGCCATCATAAAGTCCACACATGAATGTTTTCTTGAAAGCCTCCCTAAACTGCGGCTTCATAATTCCGTATATTGTCTGATTTATCAGACTACCTGAGAACATCAGGTAGAACTAAAGCCGTATCCAATTCTTGCGTAGTACTGTAACTCACCGCCCTCATGAACGATTATGGAGACAGAACCCCATGTCATGCATGACAAAGAAACAAACTACCGTAAAACGCGTCATTAAAAATTTGACGTCAGCTCGTTGAAACGAAGAGACACCAATTCCATTTTGTCCGCCATTGGCGTTAAGACTGTTCGTGCTCTCTTTCACTTTTTTGTAATTTTAATAATAAAAAATACACTATCACGATTGCCACCATGCAAAGAAACCCACTCATAACCATTATGGCGTAGAATAGGTGTCCTTCCCGCCAGTTGTAGGTACAAACAGAAAATTGTTCGTTATAATTTATTTTTTCTCATCCGTACAAGGGAGGCGTAACAAGTAGTATGGTAACCAGCCATAAGAGACCACACTGTAGCCGAACTGCTCTTGAACAGGAAAATAACCTGATAGTTATTTGATAGTTTGACTTAACGACTTTTATGTATCAATTCAGAGCCATAGAGTCCATGTTTAGAATGGAGAGCATACCAAACGTCTTGTCGAATTGTTAAGAAAAGGACTAAAAAACCAAAGCGTTTGCGTCGAATGGGAAATGGTGTATATAATTCTAAAGATTTTAAATGGTACATGCAATTCCAGAGGAGGCCCAACTCGCAAAATGAGCCTCAGTAGATATGCAAATATGTTTACGTTGCGCACTAGCCGAAATATAAGGATTTGAATGGGAATAAATGGTCGCGCTCTAAACCGAAAAAAAATGAACTAAGTTTGAATGAAACAAACTTACTGCGCTTAAGTAGTTGATCCGTTGCATCATGTGAGTTCCTTGGGCTGATTTAGGACCGTTACTTTAAGCTAAATTAAGCCAGGAAGCTAATGCGTGCAAAGGAACAACCACTTCAGCGCGGTAAGTTTGTTTTATTCAGAACTAAGTCAGAATTATCATGTCGAGAACGAGACCTTTTATTCCCGTGCAAATCCTTATGTTTCGGCCATTGCACAAACGTAAACAAATTTGTATATTTTCGGAGGCTCATTTTGCGAGCTTAGCCTACCTGTGCTTATTCAGATGAACATTAATAATCCTAAGGATCAATTCGGTAATTATTCGAAAAACCGTAGGAAAAAGAGAGATCCAGAACAAGTAATGTTACACCCGGTTACATTCACGGCATCTCTTTTGTCGATGCCTTTGTGTACATGAAATGGACATTTAGGTACAATGTGACCTGTTTATCCAATCTATCAGCGATATTCCACAATTTCTACTTTTGTGTTGAGAAACGATAAGCCGTACCCGCTAGATATTACCGATAGAAATTCGCAAACTTACCGAAAAAGCCCGATCGAATAAGCCCCCTCGAAAATACTAAATCTAAATGAAAGCAGAATACCTATCTCAGCTAAGCACATGAGTATAAAGGTTGATTTTATGGTGGCGCTTAAAATTGGTTGGTGAATTTGAATTTCCATGACACCGATTAAAATATAACACCTTGTGACAACAGCGAGGAAGTGAAAATTCCGTGCAAAAGTCAATTTAAAGAAAGCGATATTGGTGTAAGAAAACATCAGCAATGAATAATGATTTTAGATATATGAAATTCCTATATTTGCACTGCGGTGATGAAACGAATTTAAGAGAAACTCGCAGCTAAGAACATTATTGAACTAGTAGCTGAAAAAAGGACCTGAAAAAAATTCAGGCCCGTGCGGGATTTGAACCCATGAACGCAACTGTTTCTCTTCTTTTAACATTATTCATTTTTTTACCGTCGGTTCTGAACAGTCATTGGGAAAAATCAATTTCTTTTTTTGCTCACTTTTTTGCTGCTCCTCAAAACGATAAAAAAAAATATAGAAAAATATTTGTTCGATCAACTTTAAACCAAAAAAGAAATTGTAAACTGTTTATTATTCCTTGGTTTAAACGCCGCTTTTTTGCCTCAATTTTAAAAACAACTGTTTCTAAGCAGATCAAGTTTTGCTTTTTTTCTTTTTAAGGTTTTTGCTGCTCTGATCCACTGCTTTCAACTGAAGTAATGGTCAATCGCCTTTATGCTTAAAGAGGAACATCTGCCATTGAAGTATCAAAGTGGAGCCTAGTCAATTTGTTTCTATCCTTAATCTATTTGTGCTACTCGCATGTTGAATATATATATATATATATATATATATATACATATATATACATATATACACATATATATAAATGCATATATGTATTCATCGTATTTGAAACCAGAAATTCGATTAAAGATGACTTATGGTATGAAGTTTATTCGAAAGAAAAAATGAACAATTTAGAGCGCGGCATCGAAAATTGATTTCGTTAATCGTTTTTCGTTAACCGGGATACAATTGCGCAGTTGTTGCCCGCGCGCCGAATACAACAACACATGATTGTTTAAGGGAAAGTCTAAATATATAACAAAGCACTTAATGTATGTTCCCACGGGAAACTAGTTTGTTTTGTTCTACCTCGAGACCATAAATTAACTGTGTAATATTCCTGCTAGCTTGGGATTTGTGATTCCGTTTCCATTGGGACCATAATCCAGTGTCTTTTAAAGGCAGGTTTGTTATTTTGGAACCAAATAACCATTCTCTCATACTCTTCAAGCTGGCAGATTCACAGAAATAAAAGCAGTTTTTCAATCTCAGTTGTGGGAATATTTTTTATTTTGTTTCAGCACCTAACGAAAATAAAATCACTACAGAAACTTTCTCAACACCCATCTCTCCAGAAGTCAGAAGCCTTTTTTCAAAAAACACAATAGATTATGCCCTCGAAAATTGAACTTAAACTTAATGTTTTGACCGATTTCTTCGTCAGAGATAGGTTTGGAGTGCATGACTGACATTTGAAAGAAAGATACTGGTATATAAACAAAGACTTGTAGAAAGTTGGCGTTTTGTCTAAAAAAAATTGGCTGAAAGTAAGACCTTGTGTTTCCCTTCTTCAATCCCCATATCGGTCCCATAGAAATTGATTAAAAAAAAAGACATTTACAGTAAGAGCAAATGCGTTCCCTTTCGTGTGAAAATGGCAGAAAGCAAAGTATTTCAGCCAACTTTGCCGTTTGCTGTCAGAGCTGAAAGCAAAAGTTAAGGTAGATAGGGGTGGTTGCCTTTTCGTTCAACAGTTCTTTTATTCTGAGTTGTGCGCTTCATAGCTCCAAAAGCTAACGAGAAAATTCTGATCTAAAATGGACTTCAACTGACGAGAGTGTTCACGGTCTCGTACTTCAGCCATCACTTTTGCCTGTAAAAAAAGAAAAGAGCAAGAAAACGGTCCTTTTATATGTATATTTTTTAAAAATTTTGGTGGAAAAACAATTTAAAGAAAAAATACTGGAAATGAACAAACAGTGAGGACATTTGCACCTAAGGGAATTAGAGTCCACTTGTAACAACAAGCTAATAGTGTGCAATGAAATACAATACCTGTAGGCAAAGCATGCCGGGATCACTCCACGCTGGCTCTTGACTGACATCTTTAATTCTGTTGATAAGAACAGACAAAGACTGTTAAAACGTTCCACAAAGTCTCATAATTAGATTTGATCGAGGGTTCGATTTCTAAATTATGCTTATGCTACGCAATAATCAACAGCTTATAAAAACTTCATGCCATTTAAAGTTACGGAGTTGTTTTGCAAAATATTGGTGCCAACAGAATAATTTTTTGGTACATCTTAAGACAATCTTCAGACAGTTTATTACATAACGTTGTGGGTACTCAACATCTACAGGTACTTTACGGTGGCAAAAATGAAAAATAATATGGTTTCTACCCTGCATAAAGGCCTTTTGTTAAAAAATACAACGAAAAATAAGAAGTTGAGATCCACTGGAATATGTATACTCCGTTCACCAGTGGGACCTGAGGGTGAAAGCCCTCCGAAAAATTACATCTGCTCAATCTCTGTCCTCCTTACACTGCTCCTGTTGATGCAATTAACCGCAAAAGCGTTGCCATGGTAGCAAGCCGGTCATCGATCCGAACTGCAAACCGTAACAGTCTTCCATCCGTCGCGAGCCCGCGGGCAATCACCTGCGGAAGAAGAGCTGGCTCTATGTTTGCCTCAGTAAGGACAACTACCACCCTGAGGAAAAAATATTACAATTAAAAGGAGGTGGTGGTTGCAATTAACGTCATTGATAAAGTTAAGTCTTTGAATATCTTAGAGTGCTTTTTATTTTAGCTTCGACAATCAAATGACACCTACCGAGTGAAGGAAAAGTTTCCATCTTGTTTTCAGAAGATGAACGAAATGAATCAATGATCGAAAAGTGTGTTAGATTAAAATGTGCCTTTACAACTATGGGACTAAGCCAATTAGGATGAGGATGTCAGGATTCGTGCATAATGGCCGTTCATTTATCTATCTATTTTTTAAAATATTTTATTTATTTATTATTTTTTTGGAGCGATAGAGATATTTCATGTGCGTTGTTACGGTTTCTATTGTCTGATAGGTTAACGTTACTATCTACTTTTCTCTTGCTGGCGTTTATAAAAAATGCCATGCACTTTATTTCCAATTGTTTGGCATGTATCAGTAATGAGCAGCGTCATATTAGTTTTCATATAATTTCTTTTTTCATTTTGCCGTACCGTTTTCCTTTAAGTTCAGGAAGATGCCCTCCTAGAAGAGCCGCCAGCCCTATTGCACCGTCTGCTTCTAAGATGACTTTCTCATACTCCAACAATCTCAGCACAGCTAATGCTATTAGATCTTCTCTGAAAGGGAAATACAGTCACACAATATTACTTTTTCTTAGAAATCAAGGTTCTCTTCTGAATGGAAAGAACCTCCTTTCAAACCGCTCACAGAGCGATTATCATTCTCGCTAAAGCATCTCTATGTGGTTGATATAGAAGTGAGGCAATCCTCATAAAAATGCTAACTGACTCATCACAAACATGGCTATCTTAGACCAAACAACAGTTCTGGCATGAAAACTTTTGTTATCATTACGACAGTCTCACGATCATCTTTGACGGTGACATTGATTCAGATGCTTCGTTTCGCATGAACTTCGTAATCTAAATCTGCCTGTGAACATACTTTACAGTGATGCATTTGTCCATTAAATCCTCGGCGAGTCTGAGAGGACTGCTGCTAATCTCACTACTATCCATATCTGCAATTGAGGGTGTTCAGAATATCAAAACCATAATAATTATAACAATTTAAGTTAGAGCGCCATTTAATTGATCTTGCTGACGCACTGCACCTAAACATCGAGATGTTAAACTGCCCAGTTTGTTGAAGGTCCATAAATCGTGATGGCCTGCTTCTTTAGTGGGAAGAGATGAATTGAAAATGTTATATGAGGTTTCTGGAGGGAGTATGTTCACACTGAAATAACTTACCGTCCACCTTTATCAAGTCTTTAGATAATACAGCTGTTTTCGTTGCGTTTCCTTCGTGGTGTGCCATAGCCACATCTAGGCTCCGTTCCCTTGTTACTGCCTGATAACAAACACAACTTAGTCACGTTTCAGGGTCAGTTAATACATGTTTTCCTCAGCGTTTTCCTGAGTGCATAAAAAGATTATCATTCCTTATATCAAACCAGAGAATGCTTGTTACCCGTATAAAATGTTTGATTTTATTATTAACCAAGTCGTAAATTAAAAGAATTGAAGGGAGGTAAGGAAAAGCTGAGGCGATATGCGTTTAAACACTTACTCTTAGAGACTAACTAGAAAACGGACACATTCAGAATAAAGTCAATCTCGGTATCTCTATGTCACACAAAAGTTTTAGGTAATATGGCAAAATAAATTTACGTAAGGAAAACCGTAGACCACATACAACTAGAATCATTTTTAAAAAAATATGAACGCTTACTATGATTTTTACAGAAGGGTAAAGCGTTTTGACAGCTATACAAGTCCCAGCAATTAGGGTCCCTCCTCCAACGGGAATGATGATAGCATCTACTCCTTCTAGCTGATCCACAATCTCTAATCCCATAGTACCTTGTCCGCTCACAATATCAGGGTTGTCGTTTCTGAGTGTATAAAAAATAACTAACATTCAAGATGAGTAATATCAATTCTATTTCAGTGCAAGTAACAAACAACCCTTACACCTAATTCCTTATAATAGGTGACTGATATAAACTTGATTTACGATGAAAGGATGACCGTACATTTACTAAAGTATCATTTTATATTTTTGTGGGATCTAGTCACCAATAAGGTATCCGGCTAATGTAAATGTATCTGGAAATTTGCAAATCTTATGACCATTAATTAGATTTTTTTCCCTTGTATTGTGGTCCTCGACTCATGCATCGAAAAATGAACATCCTACCCACGATTTAGGCTCTTGTTCTTCACTATCTTGTTGCTTTAGTGCCGATATAGCAAAAAAATTTTAGAAAATCTCTTTGGTTTTTAAATTTTAAGTAACCATTTTTCTCTTCCTCTCCACTCCTTGTATTCTTTTGCATTCACGCGCGGTGTGCGTCATTTCACAAATTAGCCAATCACGTCAAAGAACCCTAACCTTGAGATTGGAAAACCGACGTGGACATTTTCGCGTACTTTTTGTTTTTCTTCGTCGAGTTTTAGTTGTTCTTGGGCTTTCGTTCGCGTAAATTTGTTACCACTTTGGAATTGTTAAAAAGAATCGAAGCTTTAATTTTTTAGCCAAATTATGTGGTTCATTTAATAACTTTAATACATATTTTTCCTAAACGGAATTTTTACAAAAATATATCTCTTGATGTTGAATTTGAAAGATGGGCATGTTTGAGTAGGATCCCATAGGACATGAAAAAGTTCAGACAAACCATGGAATACGCTTACTCATCGAGAGAAATAAGTCCCTTCTCAATTCCGATTTTCGTACCTCTCTCCAGCAGCTAAAACAAAAAATAGAAATCAAAGTGAGTAAAAGACAATTAAAATTCGGGTAGCGTTCGGTCTATCGATCCTAGTTTCATGAAATCCAAATAAGAAACGTGTAGCTAATCACTAGGGTGTTTTTAAAACTGTTTCAGTTATATTAGGAAGAGGTATTAGATAGCGCAAATATTAGAGCATTAAAAGATTTATATTACAAGTTTTATTTGACACTTGATGGCTTCATTACTAGTGGCAACTTGGACGTGATATTAAATGTGTGTTGGTTTTAATTACATGGCTGCTGAGTCAGCCTCCAGAAATACAGTTATCGAAAGTATAATGAATATATTGACCTCACTCTCGTCCAGACCACATTCAGTGATGTCAGCGTCATATTTCTCGCACAACCTGATTTTAACAGGACATCTACTTTCTGGTAAAAGAACCGTAACAGGCATCCCGAGGGATTTCCCGTGATAGGCAATAGCGATGGCATGGTTACCAGATGAGGTGGCGATGACTCCAGATCTCTTTTGACTCTGTCGATTAATGACATCCACAGTTAACTCAACAGCTTGCTGTCATGGGAAGGAATGCGAGATCATTTTCTTTTTCATGAAAGTTATGGACGTAATGGGGGACGAATTATAATGACTTGTTCAAGCCTTACTTTCATGAAATGATACAGAGTGGCCGGTTGCAATTCGTATATGCCATCGATTCGTATTTGAAGGAGTGACGTTGAAATATTTGACTTCATGATTAGCGCCGTGTGAAACTACTCAAAGGAATTTACGAAATTATGCAAATACAAGATATCATACACCGTAGCATATGAACGTGAATGCATACAAAAACTCCATATCCGTTCACACGAGCAAATTGATTTGGATGTCTCCGAAAATGAAGATGATTAAAAAGGACTGAAAATGAAACCTTGAAAATTTTCTGCTAGATTTTCCAAGTTACATAAGCAGCGACTTCGCTCGACTTATGCAAATAATTACTTATACTCTCCCAAGATAATAATGAGCTGCACCATGATTTCTTACCTGATGCAGTCGGAGTAATGCATAGCGAGCTCCTCTGTCATAAAAACTTCCAGATGGGTTCTGGTACTCTCTCTTGAAGTAAACCTCCATGTCGTCTATCTCTGGAATCGATGCTGCTCTCTGCGAAAAAGTCACTTTCTCGTTTGAAATTTTCGTGAGTTTGGTAGGGCGATATGTAAAATACAGAAATGATGATCAAATGGATAGAATGATAAATAAATGGTCGCACGGATGGGATTTTATGATTATGTTGCAATAATGCAACATAATCTGGTTGGCTTTTGGGAGTAATTTTTTACGACAATCAATCGAAATACCCTCGAAATTTATTATTTTTTTACAAACCTCACATGGCGTCTTGGGAACACCTTCACGGATCCAAAACGCCGCGGTTACGATACTTGAAAGCGAAACAGAGGATACTCTCTTCATTCTTTCGACTCGGCCTCCCCACAACTTATCCAGATTCCACTCTTTGAATTTTTCCTTTGCTCTGTTATATTTTTCTTTAAGTTCCGCCAAATCCGGCTTTCTAAAGGCAGATATATTGCTTTTACCAGTCCCCAAGATGGAATGTCTTTTTCCGTACGTGTGAGGTTTGAAAGAAATATCATTACTGCTCGTGTCTATCTGTGATTTAGGTGTTAGTGTTGAGAGTGACTCATCCACGATTGGATTCAATGAAACGTGGCAATCTTGATCAAATAAAACAGTTGTTTCATTTTCTAATATCGCTACGGATTCATCTGTTAAGGTCGAAGTAGAATCAGACTCCATGATCTCCATAAATTTTCAGCGCGTTCACTTGAAAATGCGTCCGTTACGTCAGAAAAAGATTTGACGTCGTCACCAAAGGTTGCGTCATAGTTTGTCTGTAACGAACTCAACATTTTCATTCCGTGTTAATCTTCACAATACTATGCCATCCACGTTCCCATGATTATAAGGTTTTATTCTATTCAAAGACAATGTTCTAAGGTGCCTGGAATAATTCCATTAATGTGATGATGATGCTTAGATGCGAAGAATTTCGTTAAGATTGCATCAATAATTCATTTAACTTCTTATGCCCCATTCACACCAAAGCTTAAACATGTTTAAAAGTTGTTTTGTTAAACACAGTTTAATTTTTTTTTTCTTCATAGAAACTATTTAACCGAATATTTTTGACTTGAATGTAGCACATTGGAAATGCAAGTTAGCAAGTACTTGAATCCAATGGAAAATCAAGTTTTTCAGTTCTCTGTTTATAATTTTCATTCAATGAAAACCAGTTTAACAAAACATGTTTTGCTGTTGTGAATGGGGTATTAAACAGTCTACACAACAATTAAAGAATTCTATTAAGATTGCGTCATTAATTCATTTAACTTCTCAAACAGTCTACACAATATTTTTTAGGCTTCCTTACTCACAAACACAGATTCTGTAGAAGAACGGCTTCAAGAAAAACGGCAACAGCGATCTGACTTTGGGAAAAGCAATGGTATCGAGGAGAGCGAAAATACTTTATGACGAGTCGTTGAATCCATTCGCTGAACCGCGCACATCTGTCGCGTTCTCAGAGCAGCTCAGAGACAAATTGAAACTAATGGGATTCGGTGGCGACACGGAAAAACCAGTTGGAATTGAGTTTGATGATATCGTCGCTGCCTCATTTCGAATCCGAAAAGGGGTCGGAAAGACACCTTGCGAGGTAAATTTTATAAGACATTGTAACAATGGACGTTCCTTTGCGCGCGCTATGAAGTTTTCATTGAGCTGAAACAGAACGAAACGAGGATGCAGTCAAAAAATATACAAGTGAGCCATGTTAGATTCAATTTGGGGCGAATATATCTCCTGTCCGTTAACGCACATGAAGCAGTATCTCAAAAATGGTAACCTCTTTTTGAGGGAAGAATAATGAAGATTGTATAGTTCCTCTTAGTTTTGTCTCTCTTCGCCATTTAACCCAATATTCTGGAACGTAATAAGCTCGTTAAAACTGCTAGAGTAAAGTTACCATTCTAATATCGATTCTTTGCTCACCCTTACCTTTAGAAATGCAGTATTCCAGAACTTAGTACCATGGAAGTGTTTTTTAAAAAGGAAAACATGCATCCGTCAGGGAGGTAAGGATTGTAATTCAGAGTTTGTTTGAAAATTTCAGTGGCATATCTATTAAAGTGAATTTTTAGCCAGCAAATAAAGAGTGCCCTATACATGTGTTCGTTTAACTATTTTCAGCTTTAAGGAAAGAGGAGCAATCAATTCCTTGTTACTATTATCTGAGGTAAGTTTTGTCAAAATTTCAGTAAGCGTTGATTTCTTCTTAATACCAGTCTTTATCTTTCGATTATTTGTTGTTACACCATTAAGAGCACTTTTCAGTTTGATCATATTTACACTCCAGAGCCAAGTGCGAACAACATACATCGATATCATGCCGAATCAGTGAATCGAATAAGCTTTCATTGCCAGGGATTTCGTGTATTTGTCCAAAAAGTTAATAAAATGTCACGAAACATTAGCTACTGCCAATTTTGCGGTCGAATGCTCCATCACTGAGCTGCGTGAACTCGTCAGTGGATCATGTTATATACCGATTTTATAGATGACAAACGTCTTACTTGTAAATGCCGGTGAGATGAATGATGTCCAGCACATCCCATGTTTATACAGAGTTTGAAAGATATCAAATTTTAAGCTCGATCTTTTCTTGACGGAGGAACATTTTCAGGAACACAAGACGAAGAAAACTCCTAAGACATCGGACCTAAGAAGTTTAATGGTCTTCAATTAACTTCAACAATTTTAGGATCAAAAAGACCGAGGAGTCATAACGGCCACTCCTGGAAATCACGGAATAGCACTTGCGTTTCACGGGCAAGCCTTAGGGATTCCCGTCCACGTCGTTTTACCCGAACAGTCACCTTTGATCAAACAAACGATGTGCAAGAAATTTGGCGCCAGCATAATCATAAAGGGAAGCAACCAAGCGGAAGTATGTCTTTCGTTGTCGTTTGTCTTGTTATTTTGTCTCTTTTTTGCTTATTATCTCATCATTTGTCATTTAGGCAAAAGAGTTTGCTACCAGCATGGCAACGGAAAAGCGTCTAGCTTATATCGAAGGGTGAGTGATACAGGTTACTGCTACCTCTTTGTTGTTGTTGCTATTGTTACTGTTGTTATTCTATGGTATCGTTGTGTTACTCATTTATGGGGTTTCTACCAGATGATGTAGTATTTTTTATTTAGTATTTTTTTGATTGATTCTCTTTCTGGGGAAAATTTTTGGTTTAATACAGCAAATGACTTCACTTTTAATCTTTCCTTTCCTCACTTTTGAAAAGACTTTGATTACAAATAAAGAACTGTGCGGAAGGTGTTCAAGAACTTAAAAAAAAAAACCAACAAAGACACTTACGTAATAACTTTTTGTTGTTGTCGCGTAACGTATGCGACCTAGTGACATCCATTGCTGAAATAGCTTCGTCCGCAATTGGTAGTTATCGTAAAGTGTTGTATAATTCAGTACCAGAGTGTTTCTTGGCTCTTGAATTCCGTAGCCGTTCCGAAAGATTTCGAGGTAAGTTTAGATTTAAATCTGATCCGAAGAGTCTCAATAGTAGTTTAGTGTTTATTTTTTGGTGTTTCGTTATAAAAATCAATGCCCTTTTCAAATACCTCAGTCGCGAATGCTTAATTATGGAACCCTTACGAATTGAGGACCTTTGCTATTGATGATCAAAACCAATCATTTGTGCGTTAACTGAGCACTTCCTGAAGATATCCTTTGCAGAAAACCTTTAAAAACCGTTACCTTGATTAATTTTTTTTCATTACTAAATGAACAGGCACGATCATCCTCACGTTATCAGTGGGCAGGGCACCATTGGATTAGAAATCATTGATCAAGTGTGCAATGTGGATGCAGTTGTCCTCCCCGTAGGGGGAGGAGGATTGCTGGCTGGTGTTTCTCTCGCTGTCAAGACAGTGTACCCAGATGTTCAGATAATAGTAAGTTTAATAATACCTGCCACCGTTCTTACGAGTAAGTTAACTGCTTCGAGAAATATATTTTTTAGCTCTGAGTGAGAGAACAGTGGTAGTTGACTCGACAATTTGCTTTAAGAAAGCCTTGACATATTTTGACATTTTCATCTATTTTAGTACCGAAAAGCTATTTGTTAGGTTGTCTGAAGATCTTTCCCCCATGAATAGTCAATTACTTTGTCTTGATTTATATGATTACAGTTAAGTTGTTGTAAAGGGATTGTTTAACTTTTGAAAGGGTGTTGAATCAAAGAGGTGTCCAAGTTTTCAGACCGCAATTGATGCTGGTCATCCTGTCACGCTAAATATCGACCACCCTTCAGCTTTGACAGACGGTAAGTAAGCAGGTGCATTTAACTCTCGACCTTTTGAAGCCAACTGTCGTCTATGAAGAAACTTCAAGAGAATGTTCGAATAAAGAGAAACAAAAGTACATTCCAGCTTCCCCTTTCGTAACTTTATATCCTTCTTGGCACCTTCATGTCCTTTTTGTAGTGATGGTATTGTTACTGATGACTGTTTTTTTCATAATTTTGATGGTAATGTGGTGTGGTGACATTGTATGTTTTTTCGTTGCCCGAAATAACAAAGCACAAAGAGACATGGATACGAATTTCGAGTAAAACGTGTATTGTGCTCCGCTTTGCGTCAAAAAATGGTGTCTTTTCAGCCTCAAGTCTTTTTAATAAATTGTTAGTTAGCCTCGAGAATTGCGTTCCCTGTTGAATTGTCGTTACTTGAATTCTCACCGAGACTGTTTTCATTCCAATGCATTTAGCGCTGAATCTTCCTAAAGTGGGGAAAAACGCTTTTCATATCGCAACAGGACTTGTAGACAAACTTGTAGCTGTCAGGTAAATGAATTCCTTAAGGATAGCTATTTTGAGAAACTAAGCAACCATAAAGAATTACGAAAAGTGATTTTTTCGGCATCGAATATCCTTGTGGTCGATTCTGAAACGTAACGCTGTGGAGAAAACCCTAACTTGCATTACAATTAGATCGAAGAAGAATATTCCTGAGAATGGAAAAGGGTCACGTGCTTGAAATATTTGTCATGTGATGACAGGAAACTAAGCGAGAGTTTTCTCTGTCTCTACATAATTTTTATTTGATGCTTGTAAATGCAGTACATACACGAGTTGATCACAGAAATTGCACGCCAATTGTGTACCCGTCCGCGTTACTCTAAAGCCGAATCAAGGGAAGTAGACTTTCGTTGGCCTCTACCTCTTGCTTTTGCCAGTAAACAAGAAAAGCAGTTTATTTTGAAGCATTAATTGTGTTACTTGTTTATCTTCACCCAATGATCGATTCATAGTTGATTATAAATAAGTACAGAGAGGCGGAGACACCCAGCGTATTCCCGCCTTTCTAGATGATGCAACTATCACATCATTCTAGAAACTGGAAGTTCATACCATTCCTAATCATATGACCAATTTATTGAAATCCCTTATTGTCACACATTTCATGCAATAATCTACAGAGATAGTGCGGATAGGTCTTAACTGTGCTTTTAAGAACGATATTAGAGCTTAACCCGAAATATAAACTACCTTTCCCTGCAGTGACGATCATATTAGTTTAGCCGTACTGAAGCTCATAGAAAATGAACGTGCCGTCACTGAGGGATCTGGGGCAGCCGGTGTTGCAGCCTTGCTGGGTGGGTATCTACCAGAGCTTCATGGCAAACGGTAAGTTTGTAGATCTGAGTCCATACAGTTATAAATCTTATGCATCAAGTATTCTTGTTGAAAATGTTTGACAATTTAGCAGTGGGTTTTCGGCGACTTGCTGTAGTAATTAGCACTCGTTTAGTGATTTGAACTGCGCTTAAATAATCTGTCAGCTGAGCTAACCTCCAGAGGAGAGGAAATTTACTTGAAACGTCGGGGGAAGGTAAAATTGCAGTGTTTAAATGAGAGAGGTGTACCATTACAAAAGGTTTCGCACAGCGAGGGTCTGAGAAATAGGGAATTTGTGACAAACGCGCACCACACCCTTAAGATATTGATGTGTCTTCTAATTAAGAAAGATTACATTATCTCAAAATGCTCCTTTGTCTATTTGCAGAGTAGTCGTGCCTCTTTGTGGTGGAAATATCGATCCGTCTGTACTAAGCTCTTGTATTGAGAAAGGACTTGCACTAGAGGGGAGACTGGTGCGATTTACAATTACCATTGACGAAAAATCTGGAGGACTGGCACAAATAATTACGTTACTAGCCTCCGTAAGCGCACGGTATGGGAGGAAGGAAATTTAAGTACAACTGTGATGCGAAATTATTAGCTGCGAAGATTTTGAGTCAAACTTGTATTAGCAAATTTTATCGAGAGAGACGAGACGAGTATTGATCATGTAGCAACTAACTTTAAACAAACTTCCATTGAATATTCAGCATCTGAGACAAATTCTGGATGTTTTTTTTGGTAGGATACGCGATATGACTCAAGAACAAATTCTGACTGACAACAATATGTTTACGTTGAAGGTAAAGTTTTTTTTATGAAAAATGATAAAACAAATTACCAAATGTGGTTTGTGTTGTTTTGAAATTTTCTAGGGCACACAAAAGTCTATGAATAATGATAGGATGTAACTGCATATAAAAGAGGTATGATGAGATTTAAAAAGAAAATGATCAACCCTTTCATTCCCAAATGGGACCAAAAAAAATTTCTCTCTACAAGATTAGAGACTCGCCATACTCAGGAATATCCTGATTTTGCGTTCACATTTGACACATTAAACTGATGATGTGATGACAAAACTAGTTTCGTCTACAATTACCTTTTGTTTTAATACTATTTGAACGTTCTTGCGTGCCTTTCCAAGCAAAAAGATGGTGATAATAAAGTAAATGCCAACTGTAAATATTATTTGATTTGAGACCGACTTTCTGGAGGGTAAAAAAGAAAACAGATATTCACCTAAATATTTACCTCAAAACAAAGGATTTTTCGAGTTCGAGGGGAGAAGGAAGGCAGAGATGGTTCTTGAAAATTATTATCAGAATTTTATGTGAACTCTTTTCGAATTCAAAAAATAATCCCACTGTTTCCTCTCCTACTCAGTGCAACATTTTGGTCGAGGTTAGAGATTCCAAGCATGCGCAGAGTGTCAAGACTTCCCTTGAGTCTTATTACAAAGATGTGTTATGGAACGCCACAATAAAGGAAACGGCTTAATGAACGTGCGTGAGGACCGAGTATCAACCCTCGTTTGGCCCAAATATTTCTAAAGAATATTGTATGTGAGTTGTAGGTTTTCAATTGAGTCTAAAAACATCTAAAATTTCCTGGTTGCCTTTCTTCGCTTTGTAATTAGTCCAGAAAACCTGTGTCACTTACTCGATCAGACTCAGAAGAAAACCAATTGTGACTTTGACGCTGCATTTCCGATTCCTGATTCTATTTTGAGTTCTCATTGACTATTAAAAGTATTTCCCTTTCGTCTGGTTGGTCGTTGTGATTAGTTTGCTTTTGGTCATGCGCCACTTAATGGTGAGTGTTAAAACAGCTGGAAATAAAAATTTATACTGGAAACAAAATTGACTCTGAAATCTAACAAGTGCCTCGTCAGGCATGACAAAGATGCCATGAGTATTTCCTTTTGTCTTTTTGGTTGGCATTGATAGCATATGTTTTCTTTTGTATCAATTGTTAAGCTAAATAGCCCTTAATAAGTAAATAATTTCTTATGGCATGTTTTATAAAGCTCTGAAAGTGGAAGAATGAAATAAAAGAATGGTTTGCTCAGTCGTGTTTCATTCTTTTCAAAATATTATGGATTTCTAGTGATGTAATTCTAATCTTAGAAGCGGTCAATGTTCATTCCAAAAGATTTTAATTCATTATTTATTAGGGAAACAATAAAAACAATCAACCTCGGCATTTGAAAGGTTATACCGTCCCGATATAACACCTTGAACTGTTTTGACAAACTTCGCCCGCGCATGTCAGGACAAGTACGAGATGAAATCGTCGCTAATTAGCAAACAAGACAACGGTATTCACTTGTGCTCGCTTAGCTTCGCTTGCCAACTTCTGGCCAGCAGACATGAAGGAATATTTAAGTTATAGTGCACTTCTCCTCCCGTTCATGCCAAAACTTTGATTTTCATTGTTGTTTGCTTATTTTTCAACTCGAATAATATTCAGTTACGAGGGCAAAAGTAAAATATTGGCTTCTCTTACCACCTATGGACTCCTCACATCGAAATGAAAGCCCCTGATGCTATTTTTGGAAGTGGTGTATTCATCTGAGCAAAATTGTTTAAAATCAGTCGAGGAAAAAAACAGTCGATGGAGCCTTTGAAAAGTTCCATCTATCGGTTTCATTAATAAATACGCTATTCCTGCTCTTGAAAGCAGTTGTTAAGTTATTCTCAGAGATAAAACGCAATGACAGTCCTCTTTCCTACAAAGAAAAGGTAAAAACTCCGAAGTTAAGGGAGTGGAATATACTATGCCAGTGTCATTGTATTTCCCGACATGTTCAACATTTACTAAAAGGAAAATACTATCGAAAGTTTGCAAATTATTTCTCGTTGTTAGCTGACTCAGTTGCAGACCTGGATTTCTTCACTAAACTCTATTACTTTTATATCCCCCTTCTTAGTATGCTAATCAGCCAACAAAACCCCTCACTTTAAGCGAACTTCGAGGAAATTTATGAAAGTATTTTTATTAACTAACCTTTGGACTGATTTTTTATCTTAACTGGTGCATAAGCACGTAGGACGAACCTATCTTAAATGTTCATCCTTTGATTTCTCTTGTTGTTGTGTAAACGGCGGAAAAATTGCAGCAAAGTTTTTCCTGTTGTGTACTGTAGGAAGTGCATGTTGCGGAAACTGAGCATTCTGCTCAAGAAAGGTTTGAAATTGTTATATCTTAGCGGCTATGTTTGGTAGTCGCGATCTACTGCGATTTAAGGCAAATTTTATTCGGACGCTAGAATATTAACGAAATGTCAACCGTAAAAACGAGTTAATAATCCTCCCAAGACTTTTAAGAGTTAAGATCCTTTAACACTCAAAATATTTAAGCGCAGAAAGAGAAACGCCACCATAACAATTTTTGAAGCATGTACTTTATTCTTCAACATTCCTATTTTTTCCTTCTCTCTTTTATATATTGACATCGAAAAAAAATAATTCTTCGAAAAGCGAATGGAAAGTGTTTTACACAAATAAAACCGCTCTTCGTAACAGGAAAGGGGACCTTTGATAAATTTCGAACGTGTGTCATTTTTCAGGCTGTCTTCTTCAGTAGGTTTTAGTTTCACATGTTGTTATTTGCTAATCATTCCATATTCAGCCCTGTGTCCTGAGAGCGTTTCGCTGTCTTTGATCGCCGTGAGACATCCTTTGCGGCCTCCACACAGATAGCTTGTGTTTCCCTGCAAATGCGATCTAACGACTGGTATGCCTGAAACAGACGAATAAAAAACAGATGTTTAAGACCACAGTGTACTCTAGGTGCAAGTTATAGAATCAGAGTGAAGAAGAATAAAAGGAAAGCTACCCCAGGTTCAAATCCTGCGCGAGGAGGATTCTTAGAGAGGTATTTTAGATTTTATTTTTCTTTTGGACTCGAATAGCCAAGTAATCTTGTATATTTTTTCTCACGTGAATATGATGGCTCGAATCTTGATTTTCAGCCAGGAGTTTAATAAAGATAGAGGAAACCGAATCAATTCCCCAGGAGGAAGCCTATAAGCTCGGAATACTTCTATGAGAGGCATCAAAATTTTATAATATTATGCAATGTTTTGATACCTTTATCATTTCAAACTTAACATACCGCTGAAAATTTGATTGTCTTTCAAATCCTGTTTGTCACGAATTGCCCAGTATTAATTCAACAAGAACTGCACTTGCTATATATTTATATTTCAGCAGTTAAAAAAAAAATAGAACTTATCTCAGATTTAGAATTGGACAGCGGTATCCTCTCATTTTGGGAATATTTAAGTGAAATTAAAAGTAAGGACAGGATACTTTATTGCTTCTGAGTATCAACTTTGACTAAATTAATGTTCGAATATATTGTTCCTAACCGAAAATTAAGGTTGTCTTATTTCCAAGGTAAGGTATTTGAATTTTATAATATTTTCCACCTAGAATTCGGATTCTTTTAAAGCCTTCTTTTTGGTAGATTTGGACAAAGTTTCGGAAGCGAATGAACAATAGTATTTACTGATACAATGAATAGACCTGAAATATTGAAAACTTTGACATAATAGCCATTCCGGCTAAAAAGCAGTCTCTTTTAGATGCCTTTTCGTTGTTTAATTTTTCACTCCTTTAATTTTCGCCTTGTGTCGTTAGAAGATTTCGTTCACTTCGACTTATTTCACATTTGCGTGGGGATTTTAATTCATGTATTCATTAAAGCTGAAACAAGAAATCGAAATTGCCATAAAAATTAACGGTAGAAAAATTTCTTAGAGAAAATGAATTAAAAAATTTCAAATTAATTTTTTTTTTCAAACGTTCAAAAATGGAGAATTTAATGATTTTGTTTTCGCTATTCTATTTGGTTACCGCTCATAACATCTTTTTGACCAAAAAAAAGGCTTCGTGAAACACCTCTAACAACACGGCATCTAAAATATGAAAATAGACTGATCCCAGAAGCGAAATACAGTTAACTTAAAAATTCGTATTAAATTTGCTTTCAGAGGATAACAAAAGTTTTTGAGATCAATTTTTGATCGTGAAAAAAAGTTATCTACCTTCGTTAGCTGCCTCTTTCCCACGTTTCCGATTCCAGCCGTAAAGCACTCGGTCTGTGAAATCAAGGCTAACGTGAAAAGCAGGCCAAAGATCATCATTGTGGTCTTCATGTTTACTGCAAGTGAGGAAGGTTACTCAGTCGGGTGGACTCAACTGCAGACTCGATATGAGTTTGTTATAAAGTATTGTAGTTAATCTAGGTTTGTCGCCTTCTTTTATAGCCGCATGCCAAGAAAATTGGCACTGAATTCAATAGAGTTAAAAAACTGTTTGCCCTCAATTATTCCTTCCTGGCTAAAGAAAGGAAGAACAAAACCCAATTGCAGCCATTAAGCGTTCCTCATCTGTCCCATTTCCGTGAGCTTTCTTAATTCTTGGGACAATTTGCAAGTACAAATCACTTCCGAAAATAATGCCGGCCTTGCCTGAGTGGTTGAAGACGACGCGACGGGTTTAATACGCGACCAATAATTACAAAATGTTTAAGAAGTGCCGCAAAGGTTTGCGTGGAATGTCCAAGTCGACGGAAATTACAAATAATTGTAATGATTCCGAGAGAATATTTGTACACTGAGATGATTGGAAAGACAAACATTTGCCACCCAGCTTTTGTTTCACTCCGGAAAACTTTAGAAATATTCTTGTTACACCTCTTGGATGTGACTTCTACAGCGAAAATTTGTTTTATATTAGATACTCCGCCTTCGGATAATTTCCAATTCCAGATGTATAACCTATTTTTAGTGCATTTTTTATTATGTAAAACTACTTCTCTTTCGTAAAAAGCCTCTTTCGAAGTTTTCTTTGTTTTTCAATTCTGAAATCCAAGCAGCACTTTTTAGAAGGTGGAGGGTTCTTTGCCGACATTCAATAATTACACCTTTTAAATGACCATCCGCCTACCTCAGAGTTTTTTTTTTTTTTTTTTAATTTATTTGAAATCGGCTGCGGCACTAGCTAATAACTTTTTAAAAATTCGTAAACTTTCGCTCTGGTGACGATTAAATTTCCACCCGACCTAACGCATTCTTCTGCCTCTCAACTTTCACTCAAAAAAATTATAAACAAGGTAGGTGCGGAACCCCTTCCGTAAAACGCCCCTTTTAGATCGGCCATTGTTCTTTAACGGCTTTTTAAAACCACGAAAAACTTTCCATTAAGCTATCAAGATGCGCTACCGACATTTCATATATCGTTTTATTTTAGTTTAGATTTAAAAGGCATATACATGAA